GGGAGAGGGGGCGAGGGTCAGGGTGGCTGCTGGGGGAGGGCCAGGGAGCTGGGGGTGTGGAGTTGTGGGTGTGTGTTACTAGAGTGAAAGGTGGCTGAGTGAGGGGTGTGTGTCGTAGGTTGTTGTGGGTGGTGGTGATGTGTGGAGTGGTTGGGGAGGTGGTGCTGTGTAGGGGATGGGGAGAATGATCGTGACTCTCTGGTTCGGAGGTCAATATGACTGAGCGGAACACACCCATCACCCACTGTGACCCCTCCATTCAGTACCAAAGCAGCAACTAACTTCCAATCCCTACCTTAGTGTGAATTGTACAGAGTCCAACTCAGAGTATGGCTGACCACAGTCAAACTAAGGTCACTGAACATTGGTTAAACTCAATCCATAGCTTGCTCCTGGAGCCCATTTCCTTACTTGGCGATCAGAACTTGGGGCCTAACATTTTTCTCTCTCTAACCCTTCCTTCGACAGAAAGGCCACTCAGTGTTTTGATTAGTTAGCTCACCTGCATGGCTCTTTTCAGTGGCACTAGTTTTGTTAATTACATTCCACTAATCAATTTATTGCTCTGGAATTGTTTGTCATTTGAAAATCTTATTTGCTATTGTGTGCTATTTGCACCACCCCCATCAGTGAGAGAAAAATTGAGGTGTGACCCTCCCCTTGTGAGAAGATTGGACCCTGGGGTAAGTGATCAGCCATAGTGAATGATGGCACGCACTCGATGGATCAAATGGCCTACTTCTATTCCTATTTCTTATGTGTAGAGAAGTCAGAGTACTTGAAAACATTTGTCTTCTTTCTTAATTGCTTAGAAGGAAATATTGAGGATCTGGCCTGAATAGTTTTTAAGAGTTTGCTCTCACATTGAGGTTTAGTGTTATCTTCAGAAGCAGCGGCCTGACTGGAAGTTAAACTAATATTAGTATGAAGCAGGCCTCAGAATTCAGCAGCTGGCTCTTCAGATGATTTAATTATTCTTATGACCCAGGTTACCAGTCAAATTTGGGAATTGCCGACTTCGTAAATGCGTATTTCCATATCACCAGCCTGAAGGCATCTCATTGTTGTTAATTTTCTTCTCAAGTACAATAAGCAGGTGCTTCTAAAAGATTCTAGCTTCTGTAATAGAATTGCCAAACCTTAAAAATCTCCAGACTTCTAATATTCGGTTCACTTCATTTCTGCCTCTAGAAGCAAACAGCATTGAAGAATTAGAGGGTTGTATAACAGACACATTGAGTGTAAATACTTAACTGATGCTAATGCAATGCAGTGCTGAGGAGGTGCTGCAGTGTTAGAAGTGCTGTCTTTCAGATGGGACATTAAACCAAAGCTCTGCTCGGCCCTTCCTTGTTCATGTAAATGATCCCAGGGCATGCTTTTAAAGAGTCTGAGAGTTCTCCCTAATCAACATTATTCTTCACAGAATCACAGTATTATTGCAGTGAAGAAGGAGGCCATTCAGCCCATAATATCTACACTAGCTCTCGAAAGGACCACCTCACTTTGTGCCACACTCCCACCTGTTTGTGGGAGCTTGCTGTGCACATTTCCTAAATTGCAACAGTGGCTACACCTGAAAAGGAGTTCATTGTCTGTGAAGCACTTTGGACCATCCTCAGGTTGTGAAAGGCGCTACATAAATTCAAGACTTTAATTTCTTCCCCCCTGCACATTCGGAATAATCTAAATATTGCCCCATTGTTGATGTGGAACAGCTCAGTCACAAGCTCCAAGTTTAACCTGCACTATAACCCTGAGGTCCAGGCTAGAGAGAAAGGCTTCCTAATGTTGTGTGTGAATGGCAGAGTTACATTGTGGAGTGAATTTAAGGCAGAAGTGAAAATGGTGGGAGGATGAACATCTATTGCCTGAAAAAGGTTGACCTTGTTATCCAAAGGTCTGTTTGCCAAACTGTAGAGTATTAATTATGACAAAACAATGTGACCTGGTTTAGGTTAGTGAACGTGGATCACTATCACAAGTTGGCCTATAATAATCCATATTTCCTGTAATTGGTGAGGAAACACTGCTGCTTTGAACGATGACCATTATTTGGGGGCTGCTTATGAGGCACTCTGATATGCTGGTCTCGGAGTCTGATACGATTGTGTTCTTATGATATGAAGGAGCTGCTCTTTAAACCTTGCTTGTCCAATTGATGGCACCTCTATGAGATGGTCAGACACTAGCTCTGGTGTCTCCATTTTTCTCAGCTTGCTTGGAATACTTTTGAATATGGCTTTGCCCTGAGCCAAAACACTGAAGAAAATGTGAAAAACTCAACTAAGTTATTTGTTGAAGTCATTCTTAACTTTTAAATCAGCACAGTATAACACTCTTCTCTATTGTTCTCCGATACATTGCTCTTCCTTGTTTGCGGGAAGCTTATTTGAAAGGGAAGCTTATTTGAAAGGGAAGGAAATCCAAAATTGGGATTAAACGGGCTTATTGGTATGATGTTGGGAAAATGCTGGAAGACATTATTAGGGGTTGAACGTAAGATCACCTGAAGAGATTGGAAGTAATTCAAGAATCCTAACATAGCTTTAGGTTTTGGTTTGATAACCTGAGTGAATTGACAAGAAGGAGTGACCAAATTACTGGCAATCTTGTTGATATTATAGATCTTGACATTCAGCAATCCATCAACAATGTGCTCAACACACAATACAATTAGGGTAGTTTCATCATGTGCAATTAAAGGCCAGCTAGTCAACTTGCAATCACATTGGTTTCAATTTTACAGGCAGAGAAAATGTAAGATGGTCTCCATGAAGACACAGAAACATTGAATATAGGAGCAAGAGTTGGCCATTCAGTCCTTCAGGCCTGCTTCAGCATTCAGTATGATCAT